CTTAGTTACGAGTTATATATACGTCCAACGACAATCAATGACCTAGTACTTCTTAGAAGAAGAATCGAGTCGATTGCATAAAACTAGGGAACTAGGAAGGTACAATAAACCGGAAGGCTGCAGTGCCTGGGTAGCGGAAACCCCCATTTCCTAGTACCATCATGCGACCATTGATAACTTAGGTGCTCTCATTTGGGGAAATATGTAAAAATCCAATTTTGTTTTCAGTATGAGAAGCATCGACCAGTTTTTCACTTACGAACACTCTGGATCATGGTATGGTCTTAACATTAATCTTAGCTTTCTTCTTCAAGACCATACCTTGATCCATAGCGGTCGTAAATACAATTTTGCTAAACTCCAGATAATAAAAATGCTGCTTTAAGAATTATTGGAGGGCTTCTTCGTTGGGCACGGATAGACTATGCATGTAACCCCAAAACATACTTAGCTTAAAAGCCCACATCTATAGAGAAATTAGATATTTTTATAATTTATGCATAAGTAGGCTAATTGAACATGTAAACAAAATTTTTAATTTATAATAGGGATTTGAACTGTAGTTGTAAATACTGTAAACACAAGAAAATGTGTTAAAAGGAATGTGTGTCTGCCAATGTAACTAATTAACTGCCATTGTAACTGATCTAATCGATTGCTCTGATAAATAATATTTAATTATGGTCACGGTCGCGATAGCGCAGGTGGTAGAGCAGCGGCGTATCTAGCCGAAGGTCGTGGGTTCGAATCCCTCTCGTGCCATTAAATTTTTTTCATCTCAACTAAAAACCTTAATTAATTGCTTAGTCATATGGATTTTTATTAGCGAGATGACTATTTTCACCATGTTAAATGTAGTATGCTGGCCATGTGCTTCATAACCTTAAACCCAAGACGCTTTTACAATAACTTTTCCATGTTAATAGTTTTCTGCACTCTTGGGAAAGCCCTGATGATGGCACTATAAGTTGCCGAAAGCTTGGTAACCGAACAAGTAGTCTTCTTCTTCTTCACCTGTCTAATGACCTCCATGAAGATTAAAACTCCATAAAGATACATAATGTTAAAGATAAATAATGTGTAAATAGACGCTGCCTTTTTCGCTAGTTGATTTGTTGTGTATAGCATATATTTGAATATTATTATTGTCTTATTTACTTATTTTCCTATTACCTAGACTCATGTACCTATCTAATGTGTTTAATATCTTTATTGCTTTGTGTAATGCGGCGGGTTTTTTTATTTCTTCTCCTAAACTATTTTCTGCTTAATGCATATATCAAGTTAAACGCTTCTTATATTCAATGGAAGTGAAAGAGCAATAATGCCCTGGAGTCAACTGAATACAACTATATAAATAAATATGTAAATCCAAAATTATATGCAATAAATTTCATACATACAAACATACATCCACTTTAAGGTAATTGTAACGCTCTTGGATATATAACGTATTTTTGTGATTCCATTAGTCGTATGCAAACAAATCCCTTGGTTTTCCCTATTCGGAATGTCCATGAGAAAAGCTTGGATTCTCCAAATTCAATCCACACAATTTGAATGGTTGACGTTGTGATTTGTTTATCATTATTGCAAAACCAGTTTAATAGGAAATTTCAATCGGCTGAATTGGAACGGCATATCTGCCGGTATCGCCAGTATACATCGTAGCACGACATAAAACTAAATTTGCCAGTGGAATTTGTTGCTTCGATGACATCCTTTAATAATCGGTCAATGCTTCTAAGACGAATGATAGAAACACCAACCTTCAGATTAATCATCTGTGGTGGCAATTCAGATAAATGAAGTCAATTTGAGTATTCAGTTGGATAATTTACAGCTTCATCTTGATCTATAACTTCCATTGATTTGTAAGTAGCTGTTTCTCCTGGTAACATGTGCTCAATATTGAAATTTACATCCACCTTTTATTGCAGCTAATTGCTCGTTCACTTAATGTATGATAGGTTCTGTAATTATGTTGATATCTGTAAATACACATTGAACCAAATTTTCTTGTGAGTGATACTGAAAAAAAGTTTTATAATTTAATCCGGCCTGTTGTTTCTTTATTTGTAACTTTCTCGATTCCAATATAGAACAACTGTATGAAAAATATTCTGGAGAAGGATCGTTTTGTAATCTAACATGTTTTTTGTTAATGAAAATTTCTTAACATGTCTCCACAAATGTTTTAAACACGCATTTAGTTCCATCAGCTGGTGTTAACATGGAATAACAGGTAATGCCTGCCGAAAATCACCTGCTAATAAGCACCGCACCACCTATTGGCAGTTCGTTTCCACATAAATCTTGCAATGTTCGATCCAATACTCTCAAAGTTTTTTTTTATGCTCCATTGTTTCATCCCAAATAATTGCCTTGCGTTGTTGGTGTACTACTCATACCTGATGTTTTTGAAATGTTGCAAGTTGGTGTTTCACTGTTTTTCATTTTAAATTGCCATTTAAGTGCTGAATATGCTGTTCGACATCCAAAAGAATCGACGCAATTCCAGATGATGCGTCACGCGATTGCCGTCCGATATTATTTTGTACACGCATGGTTGCCAATACCATTGAAATAAGACAGTTTTTTCTATTCCACCTGGCTCATGCAAGAAATACATTCCAGCATCGCTAGTCGATTAGGTGATGTCACTCCCAGTTATGACAATGCTTTATTAACAATTACCAAACACTTGTCTTCAATTAAAACCAATATTTCGAAATATTGTGAATTGGATGTCGCGGTCTAAACATCTCAAAAGTAGATGCAGAATGTCTTCCTTCCCATTTGGATTGGACAAGTTGGCTTGATTGGAAATAAATCGTATGGTTTGAATTGTCGCATAAGCTAGTGAACTATCTCGTTGTGCTTGGTTTTCGAGTAAATTCAATTTTGGACATGCTTCTGGGTTGCACACAACGACCATCTTAAATTTGGGAATGTTGTTGAAACATGAAAAATATTTGATTTTCCCCAAAAAGTTTTTTACAGTAATTGGTTCAGAAAACGAATATCAACTTGTTTTTTCATTCTTTCTTTAATAATAATAATAATAATAATAACATTCTAATGTTACACGAGGTTGATAACCACCACCACTCTCTCTTCCCACTCACTCACACTTAACTCTCCTCTCATCATTCGCTCGCTCACGCTCCCTTTCACTAAAAATCTCATTCCTACTCACTCACTTTTTCTTCCATTCACTTAGTCGAAAGTCAAAAGGATTACACAAGACACTAAAGTTGAATAACAGATTGATACCAAACTCTAAAGTGAAGATAAAAACATCAACGTCTAACTTTTTCCAAAATTCGTAATTGTCTGATTTTTGTGTAATTTAAATATTTGGAAAAAGGAACTCAATGAACTAAGAAAGAGTTAGTTGTGTCATATATGCCAAGAAATTATTGTAAGATGCAAAATATATTCATGTTGATAATAATTGCTAAACCCAAAATAATAATAAAACTTTTTTTTTAATCATCGAAGGAATGAAATCATTAAACACGTTAAAACAAACGCCAAAAAAAGGTTCGTAAATAAATACAACAAATAAATATTTATGTCGTAGACTTACAAACAGACATAAAGAGGTTGCGAATGGATGACTAAGTATTTTGACCAGCTTCAAGAATTCCGTTTGTGGATCAAACAATAAAGAATCTAATGATTTGCCCATAGTTTATTCTTCAGTAGTGTTATAACGTTTCTCAACAACACAGGCCAAACTATATTTTTTGTTTTATTTTCTATTAATGATTTATTTCGCCTCCACCTCACTTTTATCAGAGTTATCGCAGAGACCTTTTTTGTTTTCTTTTACAATTCAAATTTCTTGTTTGGGTTGATCCTTCGTCAGCCTGCCGGAGGTTTACACGTTGCAAATCGACCTCGACAAAACTTTCGCAATTCGTCGGCAATATATAATTTTCCCTGCATCCTTTCACTATTTCGCTGCTAACAATTTCGATACGTTGGCCTTGCAAAGGAGATTTATTTTCGAGGGTTTTTTTCGGGGGAAAATTATTCAAAAGAGCATCGGATTTGCCTGTAATTTCTAAGCTCTCTGCAAGGTGATGAACTTGTCTTTTCCGATCATGTTGGTCTGGCATTTCTCGCTGTTTTGATCTGTCAGACGCGATTCGGCGACCAAAATGATCGTGACCGACCAAATTAAATGTCTGTTTAGAGCTTGATTTTCTCGTGTCGTCCCGGTCCGCATAGTTTCGCTGGTCTAGAAGCGATTCTGCAATTCGCTTCAGGGATCACATGCATTTTGCTGATCTCTTAATTCAATTTCTTGTGTGTGGTTTTTGGATATATTTATATTTTCGGAAGCAAAAAATGAACTTGCATTCATTGAACAGCATAAAGATGAAAACGCTAAAACAAATTCTAATTGAGAAAGATTTTGATTTTGTTTTAAAAAATCAGTTAAATTGTTTAGAATGTATTAACTCTTCAAATTTTGATAAACGATTTAAAATTGAAAAGGTTCGTCGAATGTCAACCAGTAAAATCCCATAAATCTGATGGATGAAGGTTCTATAAATACAATGAAACTTTGCCCTTCAGAATAATTAATACTTGTAAAACAAAGATAGAAAGGCCAGATTGTGTCAGTTTGTTACCCGCAGTCGGTTTGCAGACCGGAACAAAAAACGGAACGTGCGTGCGTGCGTGTGCGTGCGTGCGTGTGTGTGTGTGTGTGTGTGTGCGCGTGTGCGCGTGCGTGCGTGCGTGCGTGCGTGCGTGCGTGCGTGCGTGCGTGTGTGTGTNGTGTGTGTGTGTGTGTGTGTGTGTGTGTGTGTGTGTGTGTGTGTGTGTGTGTGTGTGTGTGTGTGTGTGTGTGTGTGAAAGAGAGAATGGTTTAGTAATAACTAATAACTAAATTTTTAGTGTCACAGTGGAGTGTGAAAAATAGCGCCTGAAAGACCGTGAGAGAAGGGGTGATGTAGTGAATGAGTAGAGTGAGAGTGAAATAGAAAGAGAAAGGGTGAGTCTGTGTTCTAGTGAGTTAGTGTGAGAGAGAGGGTGTGAGTAGTTAAGATTTATAATGGCTAATAGAAGATTGTGTACCTCTTGTAATTTGTAGTGCTTGATTTACAAAAATGGAGTGGTTGAAAATTATGTATATGTGTGCATTCCGGATAATATATCTGCCAATGGTTTGTAAATAATATTTTGGGTCATTTATATTGGTAGAACATTTTAATTTTTTTTAAATTTTATTCCTAATGCTTTTACTATTTGTGTTGATCTAGTGAATTTTTGTTGATCTAGTGATTTTTTCAGTGACAATTTCGTCCTCAGTCTAATTAAATATGTAATTTTTTCGTTATTTAACATTGTCTTTATATTCTTATTTTATCAGTTATACCATTTTTAATTATTGAGATAAGTATTGTTAATGTTTATAGTTTTTGTTTTTTAGTCTTTTTCTGCGTCACTGGAGTTGAAAAAAAATGGTCGAGTCTGGATTTTTGAGATAAAAGCGGACCTGATATACGCGACAAAAACATGCAGAGCTTTACAAATGCGATAAAAATTTGAAAATGTTGATATTAGATAGTCGATTCAAATGGTTAGGGAAACTGACCGTTCCCTATTTTTTTTATTTTATTTATTTATTTTTTTTTTTAAATTAACGAGCCGCATAATTAATCGGCACCGCGGTTGGGTCCAACTGTTTTCATTGGTAACGTAATCATCTTTTAAAATTCGTATCGGATTTATTTTCGTTACTCGAGCCTTCAAACGGCCTTCACCTTTTCCATCGCATTCCTCGGTAGACTTCAGATTCCCCATTAACTATTTCTTCTGGGGGAAAGCTCAGATTTACCTCATTTCAGTTGTTTCATATTTCCTCGTGAACGACAGGAGCTTTTATATGAAATAAAGAAAATTTTTCAATATGTTTATATCAGTTCTGGTATTATTTTTTCTATTCATATTTTTTCGTGCGTAAAAATACGTTCCTAAATGTTCATACATTTAATTTGATAAAGTTATCGCTTTATAGTACGTATGGAATGGGAAAGATTAGAAAGTAGAAACACTTCCGGCAAGGTCTGCCGCCCATCTGTCGTTGAATTTCCGAGAAATTGTATATACTTTTTGTTATCTTTATTTATGACCTTCCGACAATAAAACTGTATTTAAGAAATTTCTTTGTTTTATTTAACCTGACAGATAGATTCTCCATGACAAAAATGATTTACAATTTGGTACAATTAAAGGGAAACATTAGGACAAATTATGGGTATGCATAAGCGATATGCAAATGCCTCGAAGATTCGAAGAAATTCGTCGATATCTTGTCCACTTCAACTCACTTACCCTCTCACTCACTCTTCCCATTCACTCACACACTTTCTCTCTCACTCACCCCCTCTTCCTACCGCTCACTTTACTTCCCACTCACATATAAGGAAAGATCCTGCTCACTCACTCTCGCTTTCTAACTACCTCATTCTTTTTTCCACCTACTCACTGATACTCTTAGCTCTCTCTTCTTCTGCCATTTATTAATTCATTTATGATTCTCTCTCTCTCCCTAAAATAAAACGATGTGTATTCATTCATTCTTTTACTCTCATTAATTCACTCACTTAAACCCTCTCACATTCATTCACCCTCTCTTTCCTACCGCTTACTTTACTTCCCACTCACATATTCTTTCCTCCTCACTCACCTTCTCTCTCCTACCGCTTACTTTACCACCCACTCACATATTCTTTCCAGATAACTTAGACTCGCTTTCCAACTAACTCATTATTTTTTCCACTTATCACCTTCCTACTCAATGATTCACTTAGCTCTCTCTTTCTCTCCCATTAATTCATTTATGACTAGCTCACTCTCGCTCTAATTCACTTTCTCTTCCACTCTCTTATTCTTTTCCTATTTCTTACTGTTCTCTTTTGTATCACTCACTTTTTCTTGTTAATTGTAAGTGACCGTTGACGAGATTTTTTAGAAAAAGATGACGCTCATTTACTCTCCCTCCCCTCTCACTCTTTCGATCATTCACTCACATGATCATCGAAAAAGGCCTCTATATGTGTGTTTGTATTGGTTTGTTTACCGTTGTCAAATGTGTTTACATTCAGTCGTAATCTTGAGCGGTTTATTATATACTATTTGCTATCAATAATAAAAACACTACGTCTACTAGTCATCATCTATGACCCTATTTTTAGTAACTAGAAAATTATTTTTTTTTTTTAAACACTTGTTTTTGACATCTAATAAAACACGTTTCTTCTTCTTACTATTCAAAATTAGAAAGTTTCTTTTCTTCTAATTCGAATTCAATTAGTTTTAGAACATGGTCATTCATTGTAAGTCATTATTGAATACCTCCTTCCATTTTGTGAACCACTCAACACCATCAAACCAACCAAAATAATTGTCAATACTCTCTCCGACTCTCCGAAATTTTTTTTTCGCTTTTCACTAGAAAAATTTCTTGACTGAAATAGTCTTTCACATCATCCGACCTCATCGTTTTCTTTTTTCAATAATTTTTCATTGACCACAAATGCGATGCGATTAGAGATGTAACACGTACGAGAGGCCACAATAAGACAATTTTTGTCCCGTCACTGAAATCAAACCAAACATCCTTGTTAAGTAAACCATGATGGAAAACGGGCCAGATTATGACTTATGCAAGCAGGCTTGTCCTTGGTCTAAACTGCCAAGTTCATAATCATACCATGATCCAAAGTTAATGAAGGCCCATTTGTGCCAGTATTTGCCGAAATGTAGCTCCGCATTTCATTCATGTTCGCTAATATTGATTTATATATTGAATCTATGTCCTATATCGAGCCTGGATTGATGGCCAAATGTTTTTGAAAAAAAAAACAAAAATCGCCCTGGTTCTGCGATGTTTAACAACAAATTTTTCTTAAAAGTTTAAAAATCTCGTCACTTACACTCACTCACTAGAGGATTAAACATAGAAAATAGATTGTATTCGATTTGTTGATTTAATAAAAATAGACGTTATTTACAGGTTGCTATGGTGTTCAGTTCGATTTAAAGTCTGGTATAAAATGGACAGGTCCTCTGAGATTTTGGTACTATGCTTTTTTAATAGGATTATAATTATATTCTGAAAGGACTTTTCCTATTATTAACTATAATTTTTAAATAAATTAAATTAATTTAATAAGCTAAATTTAAAAATTTACAATCCCTCCTCCCGTAATTTACGTTATTTTACACGTTTTTACATATAACTAATATTGTTTTATTTAATTCCTTTTAGGATGATTCCATCTCGAAGTTGCTTAACAAGCGCCCGGAGAACAAAGACGATGATATCCCTTGCAAAATGGTCAAACCTTCACCAGGTAATTTAAAATATGTTTGTCAACAAATTTGAAAATCTTGCCAAGAATTTTATTTGTGTATGTTTACATGTGTTTCATTTCATTCATAGTTTGGTTTTACAAACTATGCCATGCCTTCTAGTTTGGTGAAAATATAAATTTTTTAGTCTGTTTAAACTTATAAAAGCGTTGAGTGCCATTACAAGCAATTCGTTGACAATTAAGCGCATTATGCTAATTTTATTAACCATATGAGAGCCACTTAAATTAGGTTAAACACCTAGGAATAATCTTTGATAAGAAGTTAACCTGGAATCCTCACCTTCAGTATATCATAGCAAAAAGTAAAATATCACTAATGACCACATGAAGAACCCTAGGCAAATCTTGGGGATTAAAATGGAAAATGGCCCATTGGCTATACCTGGTAGTAATAAGATCCAAAATAACCTATGGATCTTTAATCTGGTGGACTAAAGCTCAACAAAAAATAGCTGCTTAATCACCAGGCAGCATTCAAAGATTAGCAAACATATGTATCATAAGGGCAATGAGAGCGGACACCCTTGCAAGGAAAGGGGCTGCCACACCGCTGATAGGACCCGAACCCTTCTGTGGCATAGGAATCCACACTATTAACGAATATCTCAGACAGAAGGACAAAAAGAAAATAAAGGAACAATGGAATTCACTCATTGGACATAGACAATCCAAGAATCTTCTAACCGATTTTGGTAAGAAAGAAATCACAGAATGTGTCAAAGGAAGCAGGAACAGACTGCCTAACAGGACACTGTAGATTAAATGGACACCTAAAGAAAATTGGAAGAATCCAAGATGGCACATGCAGATTCTGCAAAGAGGCAGAAGAGACACCAACACATTTACTAACAAACTGCGGAGCTACATTAGCCCGCAGGAGGAAGTGTTTTGGGATGTACAATGTGACCATAAAAGAGCTTCAACCACTGAAACCGGGCCTACTAATCAAGTTTCTTGATGAAATAGGACTCACCGATGTGCTTTAGGCAGAGAACGGGGGATACAATAGCTCTCAAAGGGCGCAGTACCATACCCTGAAATATTACATCTACATCTACAAGGGCAATGAGAACAACCCCTGCAAGTGTACTAGAAACTCTTCTAAACCTACCTCCACTGGAAACATTCGTACAAGGAGAAGGTAGGAAAGCTAATTTAGGCTCCAAAAACGATCAAAATGGATAGAAACTAAACAATTTGGACACACAACAACATCCTATAAAGTCTCAACAGATATTAAGGAGAGGAAGAACTCTAAAGGAGAGCATCAGATACATTGATATGATATGGTATATAGACGGCTTCAAAACAAACGAAGGAACTAGATTGGGTGTTTTCTGTACAAACCAAAAGATATGAGCAATCAAAGTAATTAGAGAATGGGTGTTTTCTTACAAACCAAAAGATATGAGCAATCAAACTCATTAGAGAAGTCCACTTCGGTCTTTCAAGCAGAAATACATGCCGTCAATGCTTGTGCCCAGGAAAATGTTAAAAGAGGTTACATTGGCAAAAAAATCCTCATACGATCTGATACCCAAGCAGCTATTAAAGTATATCATGTAAAACAATCACAGCAAAATTAGTCAGTGAATGCATCCAAAATCTCCAAAACCTGGGTAACACAACAACCTTATCTTGGGTCCAGAAAAAAACCTAGGGATTAAATTCATCTATATTTATTTAGTGGTCATAATTGACCGTATTAATTATTCCAATTAATTATTCTTTTCATCTAAGGTGTTTAGTTGAGGTGAAAAATTAATGTCACGAGTGGGATTCGAACCCAGGTTGTAGGTTGAGCCGAAGTTCGTGGGTTCGAATCCCGCTCGTGACACTAATTTTTCATCTCAACCAAAAACCTTAGATGAAAAGAAATAAAGAATAACTAGGGAATAAAATTCTAGCAACAATAGTCAATGACCTAGTACTTCTGAGAAGAAAGTCGATTGCATTGAACTAGGGAACTAGGAGGGTACTGTAAGCCAGAAGGCTGCAGTACCTGGAATTCTGGGAAGCTGAAACCTCGCTTCCTAGTATCCACATTACCATACCATTCATTTCATTCGTAGTTCGATTTTACAAACTATGGCATGCCTTCTAGTTTGGTGAAAATAGTAATTTTTTAGTCTGTTTAAACTTATAAAAGCGTCGAGTGCTATTACAAGCAATCAATTGACAATTAAGCTCATTAGGCTAGTTTTATTAACTATGAGAGCCACTTAGAAACAGTGAAGTATGAAAATTAACTTGCGTATTTACAGACAACTAAGCAGATTACCAAAATAAATATGTATATTTTGTAAACTTTAATTAATCAAGAACTTGAGATTTTCATTCAGATTATTTAATTTTAAGTTTAATTGTTAGCTTTCACTTCTTTAATGCAAATGTAAGAATAATTATTATTTTAAACATTGATTAAATTTTTTAGCTTTCTTGGCAAAATTGGCAAAGTTGAGTTAAGGGACTGAACAAAACCCAATTTTTTTGCCTGGGGATGTGTACAGTGTCAAGCACTTGAACCAATAGTTTCAGTAATGATGAGTGCAGAGATGATGATGATTCTTGTATGTGTGTACTATGAAGTCAAGTTTCTTAGTTCAGCGCAATCGACTTACTCCTTCTCCTAAAAAGTACAGGTCATTAACTGTCATTGCTGCAATTCCATTCCCTGGGTTTTCTTTTTATCCCAGGTTATGTCTTCATTAAGAGGTTGCTTCACATTTGAAGATTATATGGGTGATTGTTTTCCTCATCATTGCACAACTTACAAACCGGGTCATCATTGAATATACCCATGTTATAGAGATGTCTCAGATGCAAAGGACCAGTTAATAGTTTTATCACTCCTCTGAGTGTAGCCTTTAACTGCAGCAGTGAGTTTGCCCCTTGTTAACCCAAAAATAGGTTCAGGGCCTATTCTTGCAGATACTCACTCCTCTGGCCAGTACTTTTGGCTTTTCATTACCCAAAATTCCTTTGTGTCCTGGCACTCAAGATATCATCACGTTATTGTGCTTCTCCGGGTTTTGGGAATTTTGAATGCATTCACTTACTAAATTCAATGTGATTTTTTACATGCTAATGCTGCTTGGCTCTCCAATCTTAAGGGGATTTTTTGCCAGTGTAGCCTCTTTTAAAATTTTCTATAATTTGAAAATTTTAAAGGCTTGCACAAAAAATGCCTGATCCGGTACCTTCATTTATTTAGAGCCAGATGTATACCACATCATTATTGTATGTGATTTCGTCTGCATTCTTCTTCTCTATAGTCCGTTGAGACTTTATGTGATGCTGGAGAGTGTTTCCGGGTTAATATAGTCAGTCCCCCTTTGTTAAAAATGGGTGTCTGATTTTATTAATTATTGTTGTGTGCCCGAACTGTTTAGTTTACATCCAGTTTTAGTAGGTTGTTATCTTTGAGGAGGTTGTTGTCATTGCCCCTGCATACATAGGTTTGCCAGTCTTTGTATGCTGCCTAATGTTTTGGTAGCTTGTTTTTGCTGAGCTTCGGCCCAACTGATTAGTGAGTCATAGGATAATTCAGGTTTTATTACTGCCATATAATGGGATATATTTGGTTATAATCCCCAAGATAAATATTTCCAATGAATGTAGGATGAGAGCAGTGATGATTTTTTTTCTGTCTTTTTTACTACAATTACAATAATTTATATGTTTTGCAGGTTTCTGTGTCAAAACACATACTTTGGAAGGGGATAAAGTTTTTATGAATATTTGCTATACTGATGACATTCCTGAACCTGAAGATTTGACAGATGCTGAGCTGATAACTATATTAGAATCTGAGGAACCGGCGACCTTTAAAGTTCCAATGAGCCTTGGATCTTTGCACACCGAAGTTGACAAGAGTAAGTTGTAGTATTACATTACTTTGTATTTTATTGATTTATTTTTTAATTCCAGGTGGAAATCTGTGTTCTGCATATGATATCGCTATAAATTCTCGATTCTTCAATAAAATTGTGACTAACCAGCTCTTCCAAACTTTCTTCCTTACGGTCGTCATGGAAGGACTAATGGACAAATATTCATTAGAGTTGACATTAAGAGAACCTAAACGTATTTTTTTATTATTTATTTGTAATATAATGAAATGTTAATATATTTTCTGTTCTAGCATATCACATAATTAAGAACAGGAAATGCCTCGGGACGTTGCAAATGCATAGAATACAACAGAGGCCTGTTAGAAAGAATGTACCTTTAATTCAGGAGCTGCCTTATGTCTCTCCTTATACAAAAGTTGAAACAAAACCGAATCTTAATGAAAACAAAGAACAGCCAAAAAGTATGGACTGCAATCCTACAGTGACTAGAAAGTACGGTGTCAAAAAAACGGATTCCAAACTTCTGTTAAACGATGAGTTAGATGAGTCCCTAGACATCAGATTGACACCTCAGCCAAAGGCTAAGCCTTTAATTGAAGAACTTCCTGAACTTAGCAAACAGAAAAGCATAAAAAAGAAACCCCTAATTGAAGAAATTTCAGATGACGAATATAATAAAATTAAACAACAAAGCAAGAAACAATGTGAAGTTATAGAAACGGATGTAAAAAATTCTTCAAAAGAAGTTAAATCAGATAATTTCCCTGTTAATGAAATTTCTCATCTTGACATAAATGAATGCGATGAATTAAAAGATAATAAATTTGACACATCAAAAGAAAATTTGTTAGCTGTAGATGATAACAACAAAGTACGATTATTCGGAGTCCCAAATAATGAAAGGCCTGAAAAAATTGTGGCTTTTATAAAATTCAAAGCTGTAAGATTATTTTATTTTATTTTTTTAAATCAAAATATTCATATATTTGTTTTCAGCTTTCTGGCCAAGACATTTCACTAGATGTCAGCGAAAAAAGGGTTGTGGCTTGTGGGAAAAAATCCCCAGACCTTGTCGATTTTAACCTTCCGGTACGAATCACACCAGAGAAAGTAACAGCCAATTACTGCGTAAATCTTCAGGTGAATAATTGAATTTTCAATTTGAAAGTGAATTACGCTTAATTGAAAACAGTCGATTACAAACATCTTTTTTATCTAGGTACTTAAATTAATTCTTCCTATCATGCAGTTGCAAGAATCTGTAATGGCAATCGATTGAATTTACAAAAATAAAGATAATTTTTAATATTTGATTGCATTTGATTTTACGCTTTATAACCCTTAACATGGGAAAAACTGCATACAGGATTTTTAATACTTCCCTGAACCTTATCCTTTTCAAGACTTGTGACATATCCTATTCTCGTTTTTTTTTTACATTTTTGGAGCTCTAGCTGGACACACAACATCTATTGGGCTGAGGTTGTATCTAATGTGTACCAGTCTAGCAGACAATTCGATAGTAAACTGATTTTACTGTCTTTTTTGTGAAAGAACCTCACTCTGAAGTTCTGTGGCACATTCCTTTTTTAGGTAAACCCTTCTGTTACTTCTAGTTTCTTTGGCGAATGCCTACTTTTGTTTTCCTCCTGCTCATTATATTTGCCATTCCAAACCTTCTACATTTCCCTTCCATTTATCATGTTTTCTTTTTTATTTTTCGTCTTCTGTGCTAAGTACCCTCATTTTTAGTTTATAGTTTATGTATATATATATATTTTTTAATGCTTTATTAATGTGTATAAATAGAAATAAAAACTATGTGGTTATTTTCATTAATTTTTATTTTTTATAAAATACATTTTTATAAATAAACCTAATAAAATAAATATACAATACAATTTATTTTTACAATATTACAACAATTTTTTCATATTATAAGAAACATTGTTATTTGCAATTTGCCCAATTGACATTTATTCACATAATTTCTTAACCATTAAATTATAAATACTATAATGAATGAATACTGCTATAATACATTACAGACGGATTGCTAGAATAAAGTGCTCGATGGGAAAAGTAATTGTTTTAAAATTATATTTAAAAAAAAGTTAAATAAAATTATTGATTTAAAAACAACTTACACTCTATTTAGTTAACACTGTGATAGCTGATTTTCCCACCCTAAAACTAACTTGCAAGACCAGCATCCTTAGCCATACCGTAAAATATGGATTTTTTATTTTTTAGCAGTTTCTTCGGGTTGTCAAACTCAGCTATGGACCCTTTGTCCAGCACTAGTACCCTGCAGAAAATACGTTAATGGTGTTTAAAGATGAATTTTTTATTTTGGTAAATGATTCTTTTAGCTTTGCGTATTAAGGTTATTTTTATTTACAAATGAATGTGCTATAACTAATTTGGTTCAATTCAAGTTCAGGCTTAATTAAAAGGCTAAGTATTATTAACAGAATAGCCATCTATTTTTATAGCTAGGTGAAGTCAATTACCACATTGGTGGTCCAGAGTATTTAGGATTGCATTTGGACCCTGAGAGTCATTGAGGAAAACAAAAAAATACCCTTGTCTGGGTACCAAGGCACACAGTACTAATGTGTACAGCCACCACTGCTGCCCTGGAGTACTTCTGGATGTACCACCACTACATATCTTTATCCAGGTAGAGGCGAGAGCCAGAAATCATAAGCTGATGCAGGCTCCAAAAGCCTATTTGCAAATTAAAGCTTGAGGGGAAGGGACTTCAGGCAAACAGGGTTTTGGGGTTGCATGTCCCCTAATGAGGATTTGATAAAAATTTCAAATTAAAATACATAAAGACCAGGATGGGAGAAATGGATCCCAGGTAATGCTAACTGTATCTGGTGTACAGGTGGCTCCAAGACCAACTATGGGTCAGGAGCTGGTATTTATGGAAATAAACAATGCACTAAACTTCTTAAAAGGTATCTTTCAAGCAGATTTGTGGCTACTGAACACTGTCCCAAGGAGATATTGAACAGCTAGATTAACACAAGAATTGCCATCTACTCAGAAAACCTGACAGCAATAAGAGCAATTACCGCATCAGTAGTTAAGCACAGAGTTGCTTGGGATTGCATTATGGCCCTATCAGACATTGTGGATAACAATAAAACTACACTTGTGTCGGTACCGAGACACACAGTGCAGACAGCAATAAAGAGACCAACAATTTGCCCACATAACATTCAATGACACCTATTGGCTCTGAACCCTTTTGCATCATACCACACTGCCAAAATTGTTGTTCCATTAATCAAGATTTAAAAATAAGTCAGTTCAATGGAATGTAGCTCAGAACAGAAGCATGCAAAAAAGTTCTTCAAAGGGCCATCACAGAAACTTAACAGAAGAACTACAAAGGCTGGGTTGTCCGAGAGGCTTTTGCGTGTCAAGAGCATGATTCATAGATGGCCCCCTGAGAACCTGAGCCAGAAACAAAGAATCATCCTTACACAATTAAGAATAGGCCATACGCGGTTGACACAAGGGCACCTGCTCTTGGGCCAAAGCCCATGCAGGTGCCCCTTATGCAGAGAAAGGTTGCTCGATGTGTCCCACATACTGGAAACATGCCATGCCTTGGCTCCCTACAGGGAGTATGTAGGCATGCCATCCAATATAAAAATGATACTCGAACACTGCAGTGAGTTTCTAGGTACCCTGTTCCGCTTTTTAGGGGAATTTTTTTATTTATTTATTGTATGTAATATGTCTTATGTGTTGGTGTCTATATGTTTTGTCTGAGTGCATGTATATATTAGCGTGAATGGTGACGGGTGAGGGTGAAATATAATGTCATCATCACTCCTCAAACATTGAGAGTGTATGAGTGTGTGTTCAGGGTCGATGTGTAATATTTATGAAAGTACTCTATCGACCCCAATCTAGATTAGTTTGGGTATAGGTCGGAGGAGAAATATCAAGTACTCCACCGACCAAACAGAATGTGTGTACTATACGGATATTTATTTGTATGAATGTAGTGTTTGAAAGGGTAAATAGAATGTAGACTTAGTTGTGGGCTGAAATGACCTAGATGTCGGAAGCCCCAGTTAAAAAAAGAAAAAAAACTACAAAATGTAGGACGAGTTTGGACTAGAATAATAGTTGGACTGCTAACTGGACACTGTAGGCTCCAGAGGCATATGCATAGACTCGTAGTCACAGATACAAGCCTGTGCAAATGTTGCCAGGAAGTAGAAGAGACAGTGAAACATGTCCTCTGTTTTTGTAGGATGTTCTACTATTAGAAAGCCTTAAAGCTTTCAACGACTAGACAGCAATGGAGATGCAGAATACTGTTTATTGGTCACAGTGCACAGATCGTAAACGGACCAGCTCCTATTTTAATCTTAATCATTATTGTAATTATTAACCAAAAATATCTTAATTTTGTCTGTGTATGAGAATATTATATGAATAAAGATGAATACTACGTACACAAATTTGTTGTAACAACCATTTACAAATAGAAAAGAAAATTACCTGTCCGAATCCATAATTGTGTTTATCCTGTGGGCTATGGTCAAAATGGTGCAGTTAGTAAACTCGGCTCGTATCGTTTCTTGAATTAATTTATCAGTTTCTAAATCAACCGCAGCAGTTGCTTCATCGAGAATGAGCAGTTTGCTTTTACGCAGTAGTGCTCTTGCTAGACAAATCAGTTGTTTTTGCCCAACACTGACAAAAAAAGGTGTTACATACACACACACACACACACACAAAAAGAGAGTTAATTATTAAAATACCTCAAATTATCACCCCCTTCTGTGACGTTGTATTGCAGTTTATTAGGTAGTTTTGTAACATAATTTTTGAGATGGGCAAGCTCGAGCACTTTCCAGATTTGTTCATCATTGTAACTTTCAAACGGATCCAGGTTGAAGCGAAGAGGTCCAGAAAATAAGACAGGATCCTGAATATTTGTAATTTAATGACAAAAAAAATTAACACTTCAATTAACAAACCTGAGGTATAATAGTAATCCTGGATCTTAAAGTATGAAGGCCCACTTTAGAAATGTCAACATTATCAATAAGAATTGTGCCTTCCGCAGCTTCAATAATTCTAAACAGGCTAAGTGTCATTGACGATTTGCCGGCTCCTGTTCGCCCAACGATGCCAACCTACAAGGATGCTGGTCATCAACAGAATAAATTAAATTTTAACAATTTCAAGCACCTTTTCGTTCCCATTAATTTTAAAAGATAATCCTTTCAAAACAAGATCTAGTCCTTCCCTGTAGCGTACTTTGAATTTTCTAAATTCAATGGCACCGTTAATTGGCCAATTTTGATCCACAGGATTGGGTTTGACCTCCCAAGGAGCTTCCTAAAACATTGTGATTAATCATTTATATTACGTCCAATTAAAATAAAATGCCCAATATACTTGGGGTGTTTCTCCATATTCTTTTATCCTTTCAACTGCAACTATGTTCGTCTCAACTTCTGCAGTCATGCGCACTAACCAGTTTAACGTTTGAGTAATCTAGACACAAATTTTTTTAATGTTTGTAAGAATTATTACGATACGATAAGGATAATTATGTCGAACCTGCAGTGCGTAGGTGATAGACAGGCCAACGATGCCAGGATTCATTGTCTCTCTTTCCAGCACGGCAAAAAGAGCGGCAAAGAATATTATAACATTTCCGATAAATTCGAGCCGGACTGCCAACCACCTAGATATCGATTGGAAAACGGACAAAACGTTAATGTGATGTGAGTAAATTGAGAAAATTGTGTTTTACCTGTTCGCTATTATCCCAGGGAAGGCAGCAATTTGGTTGAAATCGACTTTTTCCTCTGACTCTTTCACAAACCTTTGCTGTACGTTATAAGCCCGTATTGACGACGATCCTGTGTGTACAAATGAAATTTTCAATAATAATCTAACACATAAAATTTCAAGCTTTTAAAGAAAATCAATATAGAACAAGTATTTTTATACTTTTAACATGAAAAAAGTAAATGAGGTAAATCACAATAAACATGTCGTATGCCAAAATTATTAATGCAATATTTTTTTAAATGTAATAACATCAAATTTACCATTAACAGTTTCACCAAAATGTGAGTAAATTGGCGATCTTGTCACACTCTCCAACCGTTTCAACTGTCTTGAAGTTGCTATGAAGAATTTCTAAAAAAATTTTAAACAATTTTTTTTTAAACTTATTTTTTTATAAACATTTTCAATACCAACCTGTATAAAGTAGTACAGGAGTCCCACTGGGATAATGACAGTTATAAAAATGGGTGTTGATGCACTGATAACGATTAAAGTTGATATCACCTAAAAGTTGAAAGTATTTTATAGAGATTGGAATCAATATAAGAGTAATGAAAATAGGAAGTAAACTTTAAAAGTTTTTTATTAACTTAAATAAATAATTTATTTGTAGTCTGTACATATAAAAATATATGGTTTTATATACATATGTTTTTATTTTTCTTGGCCACAACACTTACCTATGGCACATGGAGGACACTTGTTAAGGGAATCCAGCTGATGATGGTATAATATGATAGATAAAGGAGTGAGTAGGTCTCAGGACATCATATTTAACAAGATGTGGTTGGTTCTTAGGATAAGAAAGTGTAGAGAATACTTAGGCAGTTTGGTTAGGACGGATTGAGAGTTTGGCATGGAACTTTTGGAAGCCGTATTAAATCAGTTTGTTGAGAAAAGACATGTTAGGGTGGTCAGTGATTTACTAAGAAGCTAAGGTTAGCAATTTGAATGAGAACTTTCAATTAGAAAGCTGGTATGTGCTGGATACTGGTTGGCTTGGCAGAACACCCACAGACCCCCTACCTACTTCATATGTCCAACAGTACGTCTGGCAAAACCAATTTTGTTCCTAAAAGTCTTCGTAGTTGGTCAGGTATTCTGTTATGTTGGTGTCTCTTAAGTGTGGGATTCAAGGTGTTCTTGAATGTTGGAGGTTGCATGGATGCGACGAAGATAAGAAGACAAAATTAGGTGTCATAGGTGATAATGATAGTGTTGAAATGTTTAAGAAAATCAGAAGTATAAAAGGCATACAGGATGGGACCTAGAATGCTCCCATGAGGGACACCGACCAGAGCCTATCAAAAGCCTAGGCTACATTCAAGCTATTGCTTTTTACTCTTTGACCTTTAGAGTAGAGGAAATGGCGACAACTCTGAAACCTTGCTGGATAATGGAAAGATGATGATGGAAGCTGAACTGGTGAGAAGGAATGATTTTATGTGTATCTATGATGGGGATTAAACATATTTTTTAAGTAAAGGTCTAGCAAAACAGAAAGTGATGTGTCACTGTGAAAAGCAATCCAGCAGTTGTTGTAACAGACTGTGATATGAGGCTACCACATAGAACACGATAGTGTTTGTCCAGCCTAATTGTTTTCTTCTAGAAAGCATGTATTGCGATTTTACGTTTTTTATTTTGCTGCACAACAACTGGGGGATCATATCAACTCCCAGGATGCTGGTTTACTTTTTAATTATTACGCAATTAATTTGTTGAATTTTTATTTAGAAATCGTGAGATGCGGTCTGGTGTGATGTAGGTTTCAGAAAAACATTTTCTTTATTGTGCCAACGTTGTGCCAAGAATGGCACAATTACACAGAAGACAAACACTTTGAGCCCTGAAGATGATCTCAATAAAGATCGAAACATTGGCACGATAAAGAAAATGTTTTTCTGAAACCTACATCACACCAGACCGCATCTCACGATTTCTAAATAAATATCGATACGGTCACCAATCACCACACAAATTTGTTGAATGTTTATGTTTGATCACTCATTTTAATCTATAAAGGTAAATTCAATCTGTGCCAACAAGAGCCAAAGATGATTGAGCGAACTATGATTTTGTACCATCAGATCGCATGTCACCATGATTCAGGCTGGATGCTGGCTAAGTCCCAAATTTCATAATGATAATTTTGAAGGTTCATTTCAAATTAATTAATTATCAATATTCAACAAGATTCAAATAAATTAAATATATTAAAAGGTAATTACCCCAAAGAATGTATATATGAAACCTCTGATTATGGGAGGAAGAGCATTGTCAACTATGTCAATGTCTTTAGCAAACCTGTTGACAATCCTACCGATCGGCGTTGTGTCAAAAAATGAAATCGGCGAATGGAGGATGTTGTTCAGCATGTATATATGGAGACCAATAGAAGCGTAAATACATCCCAAAGCCATGGTGAGAGAACTGAGCATTAAAGCTAGCACTAAATAAAAACATGCCAATTAATCTTTCAATAAATAAAATTTGCAAAATTGATGAAGTGTCTAACATTTACTTTTAGTCAACTTTTAAAAACAAGTTATATTGTTTGTTTTAAAAAAAATCTTATGAAAAATACACTAAAAATGTACTTACTCTCGCCAGTACCAAACAACCCGTACACTCCTAAATACATGTCCCTCTTGCTAGTATCCTGGGTACCGTTAATGACTAAAGCTTTGTCACTTGTCCATATCGAAATCCAGAAATTCGATCCGATCGAGAATCCTTGGTTGAGTATGGTCAAGAAGATTGTGGCTATCGCTAGAAACATCCCGGACGACTTGAAATAATGACGGTACACTTGCCATTTCACCTGAAAATTTCAGTTTTTGTCCATGAGGAAAAATAAATACAAGTAGCAGTCGACTATACAAAATACTAACACTTCCTTCTTCTGTCTTTTCTTCTTCTATTAATTTGTCATCAAATTCTTCAGAACTCACTGATCCCAGGCTGCTGTGTGTTGACGGTTTTCGCCTTAAAAATATCAAACAAATGTAAGTTCAAATAGAAACATATACATAGATATATATTAATACAAGTTAATATATATATGCACATATAAGCTTTATGTTTAATCTGAACCTTTCAGAATTGTAAATCTTTTTAAAAATTATTTTATTTGTAACCTATAAATGCGTTGTAACCTATATTAGTACATATTAAAAATGTAATCACAAAACTTTCTTTTACATGGTCACAGCATTAACACTAATGTCGGTGCTGCACCTGGAGAGAGAAGCCAGTCAATGTGTGGTACTCAATTGAGATGTGGCGAGTTCTCAGAATGGGAATGTGTAGAGAGGGCTCAAGCAGTACGGTTATGATGGATCAAGAGATTAGTGTGAAACTTTTGGAATTGGGAACAGATCAGTTCATTCACAAAAGGAATTTTGAAGTTGTGACTTTTGATTGGAAGGATTAGATATGCTGGTTGTTGAATGGCTTGGCTGAACCACACAGTTCCACTCTATATGTCCAACGTAGTCACAGTAAAATCATGTGTAAGGTTAATTTAGTGTTGATGTTCATGATCGAATTTGGTCCTAGAAGTTTTCGTAGTTGTCTTTTTTTAAGTTGTCTTTTAAGTCAGTATGCTGTTTAGGTCCTAAGGCCTAAGCATTTGACTTGCATGCAAATTGATATACATATATATCTTTGTTGTTGAGGTACAGTGGAAGGTAAGAATGGTTTTACAATGTGAACATACACGGAGCAAATTTTTCTTCTTAGTCTTGTCCTCCACTTTTTGGACCAAACTTGGTAACCTGGGGTCTTGTATGTTGGAGGCTGCTTGGATAGGATTCGAGTTAGACAAGGATAAAATTTATCATGATGCAGTGACGGTGGTATTAGGGTGTATGTTGAGAGTATGAAATAAAGGATGGGACCAAGAACGCTCTCTTGTGGGATGCTGATTTGTATCTGTCTGACTTCCTGGAACTCGTTGGCACACCTCACTCTAAAGCAACAGTCAATTAGATAGGAGGATAAGGTAATAAAGAGTGGATAGGAAGCGTAGTTCATAAAGCATGCCTAGGGGCCTGTCAGTAGCCTTCCTAAAACTGGGAATCACCCAAGCAATACTCTTTATTCTCTAGAGCAGAGAAAATAGTGTCGACAACTCGAAAAATGAGGATGGAATCTTAATTGATGAGAAGGAATGATTTTATGAGTATCTATGATGGTATTAAGCGCTTTAAGCATTTTGGGCATTAAAAGAAGAAAACTAGGTAAGTGGATGTATGGTTGGGAGATTTGTGTACTTTGTGAATGAGAATAACAATAGAATATTTTTGATAAATGAGTAAAATAAGTGGTTTGTAGGACGGCACTATATAGTTATTATATTAAGAAAACTATGACTTTTTGTGGAAGGTTTTCAAATATGGTAAAGGTAATTAGATGTAGCCATTGTAAAAAATAAATATTTTTTAATAAAAAATCTCTCTTAAAGGAAAAGTCAACATTGATTTGAAAACATATCACAATGGGCTCAAAAACTTAATGCTTTGTTCAAGGAATTCTATTTTTGCATGTTACAATAGCAAGTCTTTAAAATAATATAATATTAATTTAAAAATCCTCTATGTTTTGAACATCTTTATAAAGCTTTTGTACAACCCATACTAGAATATGCTACACCTGTTTGGAACCCAGTCTATCTAAATTATCAAAAAATTCTTCAATCTGTACAAAACAAATTTTTAAAAAAACTTTCCTACAAACTCAATCTTCCTCCGAATTCTGCCTACCCTGGAATCCGCTCTGAATTTAAACTTTTCGAACTGGCACTAAGAAGGGATTACTTTGATATTGTTTTTATACTTAAATTATTAAACAATCTCATTGATAGTCCTTATCTCCTCTCAACTACAGCTACATGTCCCTTCGTACTCACTTAAAACCTATAAATTATTTTATATTGAATTCCAAAGCTCTAACTACATGCTCTAACTCTTTTCCTCTACACAGAATGTTGATCAAGAGTAACAACATCTGCAATAGGATTGACTTCTTCAATAGTTCTGTGAAAACCTTATCCTACAACCTTAGTTGAATGCTTTTATATTTCATACTGTACAAAATTATTATAATTTATTTCATTTACTGGTTCAACTAATTCTCGCACTCTAGTCTTATTATATATTTACAAAGAGCATTATTTTCATTAAATATGTACCTAATTATTGTTTCAATTGTCTTTCAGCTTTATTTTGTTTTCTCTGCCTTATTTGGTTAGTAATTATGTCTTTCATTTTTGTTGTTCAGTTTTTACTCTTTAATTGTATTTTTACATTTATCGTTTATATTTACGATTTATATTATTACCATGTATATACGTCCTTATTCTTTTTATATATATTATTTGTATTTTTACATATATTATTTATATTTTTTGTTATTGTAAAATGTCTTTTTTATAGTGGATTTCGATCTGTAAATAAATAAATAAATAATTACTATACCTTCTCATAGAACTGGACACACTAATCTGTCTTGAAAGTTCCATCTGTGAAGCACTTGCCATTTCTTCATCCCTTCCTGTTAAGTACCAGGACAATTAGATAATACAAATTATAATTAATATTTTTTGCGTTTTATGAAACACGTACCTTTATTTTTATCAATGTCTTGAGTGTGAGTGGTAAGAAACTCAGAAAAAGCGCCCTTTTTATCTAAAAGCTCTCTATAAGTTCCTGTTTCAGACACAGAGCCGTCCTTGAGTACAATAATAAAATCCACCTCTGGCAAAAATGTAATGCTGTGCGTTACAAGCAGCCTAGTCTAAACAAGTACAAAATAGGTGTAATAAAATAAAAATTGGAAGTACGATTGTGGGTACCTTGTCATGAAGGATGCCATTGGGTCCGATGATATTATCAAAAATATGTTTCCCGACATGACTGTCCACTGCGCTTAAAGGGTCGTCGAGGAAGTAGATGTCAGAATTGTAGTAGACTGCTCGAGCCAAACTCACTCTTTGTTTTTGGCCTCCACTCAAATTAATACCCTTAATTATACAATTATGGAAAAAATAATGAACAATACAAAACAATAATATTAGAAAATTTTGTTTTATTATTTATAAATTATATGTGGAGAGTTAATCTTGAAATGCACTTTGTTAATAACTGAAATTTAACAAAACACACTTTCAGATATAGTAGACTCTCGTTATCTGTGCTTTCACTCATCCATGGTTGCCTCCCTAGATAAGTTCTAGAGGAGAGTGCGAATTCACTGTGGAATAAACCTTTGCACATTACTTTACATAGTAGTTTTCTAATTAAACAAAAAACCTGAAATATCTGTACATAAGTTCATACATTGACAATAGGGATATGCAATACAGAAAGTGTCTGATTGGTATGCAGATGTGGAAGGAAATGCTTCAAAGCCTGAAATTCGAGGTGTTTCCTATTATCCGTGGTGATGCTTGGGACTTATCACAGATAACGAGAGTCAATAGTATTAGATTATTATTTGTGAATTTGTAATACCTTTTCACCGATTTCAGTTCTGTCACCAGCAGGTAGCATCTCAAAATCTGCCTTGAGGGCACAAGCCGTGATGACTTTCTCATAAAGTTTGCTGTTGTATGCATTACCGAATAGGATGTTCTCCCGCAACGTTGCATTCTGTATCCAAGCGATTTGGGGCACGTACGCAATAGAACCCTGAGCCCAAATAATGATTAATATTTGTCGTGTTTGCCCTTTCTACCCGATTACCTTTGTGTTAACCCGTCCGGAAATTTTTTCCATCTCCCCGAGGAAAGCTGAGAGAAGAGAAGACTTGCCGGACCCCACGCTGCCGACAATAGCGACGAGCGATTTCGGTTTGATCTTCATGTTGATATTTTTCAAAATCGTGGAGTCCTCCGCTCCCCATTTGAACGATCCATCTTCCATGAGTAACGCCTCTTCTAAACAAACAATAAATGCCAAATAATAATTTACCAAGAAGCTTTTAATTATTTTTTTTGCACATTTAAGACTTTTTTACTTTACCAAGTGTACCATAATTACTGAGAGTGTGTATATTTTAGTTGTATATAATTATAAATATTTTTGTACAAAAGCAAAAAAATTAATAATAATAATTTCAATACTTTTAACCAAGTCTTGGTTGAGATGAAAAAGCCAATGTGATGAGCGGGATTCGAACGTATTGCTCAATATGCTGCTGCTCTAACCACTTGAGCTATCATGACTTTGATCTACTTGGACACCAACTCTTCATCTCAACCTACAACACCCCGTATCACAGGGGCGATGAGAACAACCCCTAAAAACGCATTAGAAACCTTGCTAAACCTACCTCCACTAGAAATATTCATACAAGGAGAGGCTAGGAAAAGCTCATTTAGGCTCCAAAAACAATTAAATTGGAAAGGAACTAAACAATTCGGGCATACAACCGTAATCAACAAAATCAGACACCCATTATTAGAAATGGGGACTGGCTACATGATCACAGAAACAATCTTCACAACTTCCTATAAAGTCTGAACAGACTATAAAGGAGAGGAAGAACACAGGAGAGCATCAGATACAATGATATGGTACACAGATGGCTCCAAAACAAACGAAGGAACCGGATCAGGCATTTTCTGTACAAGCCCAAGATATGAGCAATCAAACTCATTAGGGAAGAATACTTTGGTCTTTCAAGTGGAAATACATGCCATCAATGCTTGTGCCCTGGAAAATCTTAAAAGAGGTTACACTGACAAAAAAATCCTCATAAGATCAGACAGTCAAACAGCTATTAAAACATTAGCATTTAAAAGAATTACATCAAAACTAGTCAGTGAATGCATCCAAAATCTCCAAAACCTGGGAAAACACAATAACCTGATGATATCTTGGGTGTCAGGGCACAGGGCAATTTTGGGTAACGAGGAAGCAGACAAACTGGCCAGAGGAGGATCTGCAAGACCATACATAGGCCCCGAACCTATCCTTGGGATAACAAAAACAAACATAGAATCCTCCATCGCATAATGGATCCAAGCAAAACACAAAGAGAAGTGGATAAACTCTAGCTGTGCTAGCCATAGTAAACTTATGATGAAACAACCCTCACCAAGATTGGCAAAAACACTGCTACAATTGGAGAGGGCAAAACTCAGAGGAGTGGTGGGACTACTAATAGGTCACTGGTATGTGAGAAAACATCTACACAACTTGGGTATATACAATGATGATCCCATTTGCAGATTATGTACTGAAGAGGAGGAAACAGCCACTCATATCATCTTCGAATGCGAAGCAACAGCTCAATGGAGGTTAAACCTAACGTACGGAAAAGACTTAGGGAATCAAATTGCAGCAACAACAGTCAATGACCTGATACTTCTAAGAAGGATTGAGTCTATTGACTGAACTAAGGAACTAGGAAGGTACAATAAGCCAGAAGGCTGCAGTGCCTGGGAATACAAACCCCGCTTCCTAGTACCCTTTCCACCATACAACCATTCAAATTTTCCCTCTTTCTGCCATATTTTACATAAGTATATATAATCTTATAAGGATTAAAATAATAATAATAATAATAAAAAATATGGGTCTTACCTAGTTTATTGTCATGTGAAACACAACTTGGATCGATTTCCTCACTGTTCATAAATTTGTTAATACGCTTAATAGAAACGCTAGTCTACCATAAACATAAGAAACAAGAAAACAATATTAAAGAATAAGATTAAAATAAACTGAATTATAATATCAATTTAATTAATGATGATTAAGTTAATTACCTGAATCATGCTAGCGATCAGCATTGGAAGCATTGCAAGTGGGAATTTTATCATGTTGAAAAGAGAGAGCGCGACAAAAGCTTTTTGAGCATCTAATATATTTTTTTCATCCGACAAAACATAAACAGTGAAAGTTACTAAAGCAACCTGTGAATAACAATAGATTTTTATAAAGTAAAAAGACAAACAAAAAATTTCAATTGATCAGATTTGTTATATTTAATTACCAAAAAAGGAGCACAAGCCCATAGAAAAGAAGAAAACGCGTTTAAATATGAAGCTTGTTTTAGAACTTTAATTTCCTTTTCTCGTATATTCATCACTTGTTTTTCAAAACTAGGCTCCCACGCATATAATTTTAGCACCTTAATGCCAGACAAGATTTCATTCATCATTTTAATCCTTTCATCTTTGTTTTTCATCTGGATGACCTGAAGTGATCTGACTTTGCTTCCGATCACTCCGTTGATCGGTATCAAGATTATCATAACCGCAAATCCTGCCATCACCGACGGGCCTGTGAAAATTAGAAATTGTCAAAGCTGAACCACACGGGCAAATAATCTCACTGACCGAGTGTCTGCCAAAGAAAGTAAAGTGCAAGGGCAATCGTCAGTGGTACAGTCCACAAAAGGTTGAGAAATGTTACCAAATCCATAAAGCGCTGGGCATCTACAGACATCAAATTTACAATTTCACCAACCGTCGAACCTTTCCTCGCTGCATTTGACAATTTTAAAGCCTTAAAAAATTTTAAATGTTGTATTAACAATGTTTTCAAAAACAATTCCATCTGAGCTCATACAGTAGTATATCATTTCTAGATTGATCTAATGTACAATATATTATATTGCAATTTTTTTAAATGTTTTGATAAAAAATATATACTTTTCTATAAATGATGGATATTAAAGAACTCCTTATCCTTAGACCAATGAGTATCATTTTTTTAAAATATTGTGATAACAAGATACTCTGAATAGTTGCTGTAATTAAAAGTACAGCAGCATACAAGTAGCCTTTCCATTCGGGTTCATCACCTTCGACAAATTCAATAAGCAATCTGAAAATTGTATGTTTGATTATAAATTTTATTATACAAAATTTATATAATATATTAACTTACACATTTATTATCATCAAAAATTTCTAATGTTATTATTAGTTAAACTCACTTTAGAATCAGCGGGCTGACAAATGACAGTAATACTTGGACAAGCCTTAGAAATGCGCCATACAAAAACGTAGGACCAAAACATTTGCAGAGACACGGAAGGATTGAAGTTGGCTTGGGCTCGGCTTTTTCCTTCTTCACAGCTTCATTAGTGCCAACTGCACCTTTAGAAATTGCAGCATTATGTTTATCTGCCAATCTGAAAAGTCATTTACTAAAGAATTTCCTAAACAAAGTCAATTCTTTTAGGCTTCCTTTTGAAATAATTTAAAATATTAAAGTAAATACTCTTGACCAATACCAGTCTTGCAATTATTATTAATTTTTAAATAGAAAATTAATCATTGTTTTTATTTTAATTTAAATAAATTGCACAATTATTTAAAATAATTATCTATCCTCCTTTCGGTAAAATTAAAACATTTACCTTGTTTTCTTTTGAACGGATGCGTTCCAATATTTATCAAACTGGGGTATGACCGCACGTGACATGTCTTCATAATTCATGTTCCAAAGATCAGAATTGGTCAGTGGTTGTCTATAGCCCCGAAATATAAAGCTGTCGAACCAAGTGAAAAACAGTTGTGAAGGGAATGATGCATTGTACTCAGGGCAGGGATTCTGAAAAAAAACCACATTATAATAAAGAAATTCTTTTGTCAGTTAACATTTAAAGGCTTACAGTGACTTCTGGATAATCTGCATGCAGAGGCTCAGCATCAGCGAAAAAATTCAAACCTAATGAGACCAATGCAAATGCAAAATACACAAAAAACGTGATATCGATAAGAATATAGTCATTCTGAAAATTTAACATCAATTGAGGACATTAATTAATATTTATTCATTGTTTTTTTTTCCTTGCCAAGCTTACCAAAATGTATTTTTTAATAACAGAGCCAAGTTGTGGCACAGCTAAAATAACTAAGAGAGTCCACATTAAAAACAAAAGGCCTGACGATCGAATACCTTTTTCCCTATGAACTAAAATTAAAGTTATGCTTACAATCTGAAAAAAAAAAAAAAAATCACTTGCTGATTTATGTAAAAACAGAACTTTAGTTTTATATTGAAGGCTGATACAAATTATATTATTTTTAAAACTACTTACCATTAAAACTATTTTAACTAGGGATGTACATAAGTCCACAGGAAAGACAAATCCCTTGTTTAGTGTTATAACAATGTAAACAAAATCTATGATTCCTAATATTAAAATACCGGAACATAGTAGCTGAGGTAAACAACAAAAAATATAATTATTTTACTTCAAAAAAACAATTAAGTAAAAAAATTTACCAATTTCATTTTATTGAATTGGCTCCATGGTATGTTTCTAGTGTTACTGTATACAATATCGTATATATCTATCCAGATGAATAAAATGACAAACAGAAAAGGAACCAAGATGGATAAAGATTTTTCCAAGCATGGCGTTAATTCCGGTGTATCCGTGTACCACGTTAAATTGGCATCCTGTAAAAAATAAAAAAAATCATAAAAACAGCCACTGAATAAATATATGTGGATATATAGGCTCAATTCTGTTTATATATGAACTTGTGTATATATATATGTGCAGAACCGAGTGTTTCGGTGGCCCGGGGGTCAGACCTTGGTCTTACGGTACCACTGTCTAAGTTAGGCCCAAAGGGTTATTGACAACCAAGACATTTCAGCCCCCAATGCATGCTGTTTTAACTTAAACACACTCACACTATCATTCATTCTTAAATTTGTTCTATCTTACTTAAATATCTTTCACTCAAGTAGGGTGGAGTACTAGATATTCTTCCATTTTCCTTTATCACGCTTATAAAAAACTATACTTACAATACCTAATCTAACTTAAGGTCAATGGGGTATTTGATATACCGAAACTCTTGTACTACACACACTCACACTAATAAATACATGATTGTTTAGAAACCGTGAGATGCGGATCTCTATATAATCATTAACTAACGGTCACTATCACCCATTCAACCAAAATCTTCCAAAATGCATGTAGTAAGATAAACGAATGGACAAAAAAATGGAAAGTCAAACTAAAACAGCATAAATCAGTTCATCTAATCTTTACAAACAAAAAAGTGGACCATGTTCCGTCGCTCTCAATCGATGAAACTACTATACCATACAGCAATACAGCTAGGGAAAGATCTTAGATGCCAAGCTGAAATGGAAAGAACACGCAAAGAAAAAAAGGACAGAAATAGGTTTAAGGTATAGACAACTATACTGGTTGATAGGACGTGGCTCCAACCTAACTATACAAAATAAAATATTATTATATAAACAAGTCATAAAGCCTATGTGGACATATGGTATTCAACTCTGGGGTTGTACCAAACACAGCAATATCAAAATCATACAAACACTCCAAAATAAAATTTTAGTTAAATGGTCAATGCACCCTGGTACATAAGGAATAAGGACTTACATAGGGGTCTTAAGATCCCTGAACTCATGGCGGAAATACAAAGATTTGCTGCCAAACATCGCCTCAGCCAACACGAGAATGTGGAAGCGACCAAACTCTTACATAACCGAAACACGGTCAGAAGATTAAAAAGAACAAAGCCATATGAACTTGCGTAGTTAAAAATGAATAGTTAAGAGTCAAATGTAAATCTTATTGTACCAATGGGTTTATAAGAATGTAAACATTTATTTATTCTATAATATTATTGTAAAATTAATGGTTGGTCTAATAAGACCAGTTTTAATAAATAAATTTAATTTAAAAAAAATCATTTTTCATTCATTTCATTCACTCACAACACACACTAGGACAGAAAACTATCAGTAACAGCCGTTTCCTCAAAAATTGGAACAGAGAATACAGATTCTCGCTGCCCTGTTCAAGCATGATTCTCATCGAGTAGGATTCCTACACTCTCCCCATATAGAACTAAGGAAGTGCACCCTTCAATTAAGTGGGAAACATCGAGCAACCTTTCTCTAAGGGACCCAAGGATGCTGTGCTCAAGTATAATTATTATATTGGACGGCATTCCTGTTGTCGGGAACAATAAAAAGAGCAGTAAAGTGAACAATATTTTAATTATAAAAGGAGCAATACACAAACAGGTGTCAGCGGAATAACTAACAAAGTAACAACTTCCCTGCAAATAATTCCTACTTGCTCCCTATATGGAACAAAGGAATGACACCCACACAATATGGGTCACATTGAACAATCTTTCTCTGCATGCCAGGCATGTATGCTTGCTTTGGCCCAAAAAAAAAATATATTTTTTTTTTTCAAAGAAACATTCTTCTTTATAACATGTAGTGTTGCACCTTTTTAACAAATAATTACTTTTTTGTTAAAAAAATAAAAAAAGGTAGTGTATAATAAATAAATGAGAAACTATTCAGCAAGATTTAAAAATCGCCATTTTGTTGATTTTCCTTAATACTTAAATAATTATTTGTTATCAAAACATTTACACATTTTTACACAACTGACTTCTGTTCAGAATTTGTAGTAAAAAGCACGTAGTTACCCAGAATTTGGACCCACAGAAGTGGTAAAGACCCTCTTCCATTTTGGTTACGCCTGGTTGGTTATGTGTGTCGGCTTTTCTTGCAGCTTACTCGAACTTCTCGCACACCTTCCTGAAATTAATTGCTGTTTACTTGAAGAATTGGTCTTAAAATACTGTGTTGGGTTGTTTTTTTACGTTCTTATAAATTTTACCATACTTTATACATTAGTTTTTGTTATTTTTAATATTTGATTTGATTTTTCTTTAATTTCGCTTGAAGTGCAGAAACGAATAATCACGTTAATCATTGACTTCTAAAACATGTTTATTACACAATAATTGTTGACCCACCCGGTCCTCGTTTTGACTGTCTTTTAAGTAATAAATGCCGATAATAATACTGAATCAGTGGGTTTTCCGCTTGCCCAGAATCTCACCAACCGGAGGCGTATTCTGAATGGATAAACTATAATCGACCAAGTGGACAAATTAAGAGAGAATTGATAAACGCGATGATTCATTCATTTTCTCAGGGATGAGTGGAAGCCTCGATTTGAAAAGAAAAAACTGATAAAACTTAGCAGATTATATTATCTATGCGTATAATATGTAGGTCATTTTTACAGATTGATCAATATTTAACAATAAACGGCACAATTTGTGGCTTTAAAAGTGTCACAGCCCAATTAGTTAAGAGTTTAAAATTAGTTTAAGAATGAACTATTCAATTAATCTTGCCAGCACTCAACTCTTATCTTGACAAGATGGACACATAAGTTCATTACAATAATTGGACGAGCTGATAATTCGAACAGTCATGGAATGAATTTCGCACGTTGCTACATCTGTTTTCGTTCTTATGCCAACAACAAATATACTCGGAGACTACAGATTTTATATTTTTATTACATAATGAAATGTAATGTTATACGACTGAAGTATTCGGGTGAACAATAACGACAAATAAAATCAAGACTTCCCAGGAGAAACAGCCCTTGCATATCATCGTAAAAATCATTTAACCTACAACAGAGAGGAAAAAGAATCAGAAGAAAATCAAATACTACTATAAATGGTCCAAAACCAGTGAAAAACCGGGTCAGGGATTTACTGAGGAAGACAAAAGTACGAGCGATCTTCGTAGGGAAGACCTCGTCTTTCAAGCTGAAATACATGCTTGTGCCAAAGAAAATCTTAAAATAGGTTACACTGACAAAAACTTCGTTAGATAGGCAGCAGCTAATACAGCATTAGCATGTAAAAAAATCATATCAAAATTAGTCAGTCAATGCATCCAAAATCTCCAAAACTTGGTAAAACCCAACAACCTGATATCTTCGGTGCCAGGACGCAAAGGAATTTTGGGTAATAAAAAGGCAGACAGGCCAGAGGAGAATCCAATGCATATGCAAATGGTCAAGAAGGCCGACGTTAAAACTCGAAAAATTACATAAAAAGTCCTTTGCAGAATTTTGGTCTATTTTAACAGCCAAGATTGCTGCTTAAAGGAATTATAAGTTGTATAAACAAGTTATGAAATTTATTTCAATCATTATTATCTTGTCAGGGATGAACAATGGAAAGTATGTGTATTGCTCATTTTGGCATGGAAATAAGGAAAACACTGGATGAGTTTTCATGTTCAAAGAGATTTTGTTCGTAATCTCCTTCCGCAAACAACTTCTACAAAAATAAATGAAGGGTTGAAACGTGCCTGCATCATTGCTTTTTTTTACATTACAATGCAAAATCTTATATTTCATAGCTGACCTAATGGAATTTTTGTAATACTGGCAAGGAAAAAATTATTCAAACAAAAAGGTCTGTTACGAGAATATACGAAAATATAAATTGAACTCGTAAAACAATTTTGGCAATTTTGAAACTAGCAGAAAGGCACATCGAGGGTAAGAAGAGATTAAAGTAGATAAGAAAGGCCGGCCCTGGACCAGCCTACGTCACACTGCCTCCGCCTCACAGACACCTTGTAAAAAAAAATACAAAAATTGTTTTCGCTGAAACCACATATAGAAACTAATGATAACGAGATGCCAAAACTGGTCTGATGTACCCGGGAAGATAGGCGGACAAATTATTCGATTATGACCAAATTACAGCTAGCTAGGCTGAGTATAATGTGATAAAATATGATTCAAGAAACATTGCTTTGACAACAAGATTTCAACATAATATGAACACATGAGCTCAAATAAGAATGCATACGAGTACATACGGCGTACAAACAGTACAAAAAAAAAATAATAAAATAAAGCAGAGATGATGTTGCTTCTATCCACCGAGTGCCCAGAGACCCATGCCAGGGTCAGGCCATTTGTGTCGCTGACTTCCGTCAGGGCCTTCAAGCAGTTCCAACTTCCAAACACTCTTTGCCTTCACCTCGCACGATGCTTCTACCTCAGAGGTTCTGGACATGAACGAAAGATGAAATTATAAAATATTATAATGAAAACACGTTGAGAAAAATGAGCTTGGCGTATAAAGAATATACTAATTCGGGTACAAAGTGGAGATTATATCAATTTTTTACTATTATTTATAGAATTTTTGGTATATCAATTATGTTAATCTATATCATTTTGTGCTCCTTATTCTTTGCTCCATTTATTAGTTGTATTAATAATATTATCAGAAAAAGATATTTATTATTCAGAACAATACCATTGCGTTATCAACAAAAACCCATGAATAATGTATTAGTTTTATGTAACTGTTTTTAAAATTTAATTTTCATAAGGACCCCCACACATAAATATAGTGTGTGCTAAAATGTTATTAAGCAAACGGGGTAAGGAAACATCATGTGTTCATGCCTCGAGAAAATAAGTACAATAAATGGTTGGACTTTGGACGTCAAAGCATTATATTAACCGTAAATGTTTTGTCGAAGTAGTGAGGAGCGGTCAAGGAATGAAATATTTTAAAAAACACTTCTCATTTTATACGGCGTTGCGACCTTTATTCGGGTCATCTTCAGGGCCTGGGTGAATTGCAAAACATATGTTCATTGGGAAAAATAATCGAATAGCGATGTAATTAATATAAATTTTAACCAAATATATCATACTCACATAAAGTATGTTATTCTTGTGGTATCGTGTTTGTTTCGTATGAAATTGTTGTGAAATAGAATTTATATTCTGCTGTTTTTATATAGGAATAAATGGGGATTTTCTGGATTGGATTTGTGATTCGGGATTTATTAAATAGGCACATTTACTAATATTGGGAAGTAAGTTAATTATTACGGACGATAATGATGGAAGGGGAAATATAAAAATAATTATTCAAAAATCATGAGATGCGGTCTGGTGTGATGTTGGTTTCAGAAAAACATTTTCTTTATCGTGCCAACGTTTCGGTCTTTATTGAGATCACTTTCAGGTGACCAGATTGAATATAAAAAATATATTTTTCATTGTATAAATTCACTTTTTTCCACATCCTACATGTATTTGTAACATGTAAACATTGTTTGTAAATTCCAGGCCCTGAAGATGATCTCAATAAAGATCGAAACTTTGGCACGATAAAGAAAATGTTTTTCTGAAACCTACATCACACCAGACCGCATCTCACGATTTCTGAATAATTATCGATTAACGGTCACTAATCACCACACATATAAAAATAATGATTTATTTGCATTATGATGGTGACTAAGGATATGTTTGCATGCATCTGTTCAGTAATTATTGCTGTGTATCTCGATTAATGTAAACCATTTCGATAAAGCTAGTTGGCTTTGTATTTTTCTAAGTTATTAGTATTTGTATTTTGTCGAAATCAAAGTAGCGTTGTTTTTCAAAATGGCATGGTCAATGCTGTAAGATTAGTTTTTGGCGTTATAGTCATAGATGTGATTTTTCCGTTTTTGCAGACATAGCTATTAATTTTATCAATTACATCAGATTTGTAGGCTGTTGGTGTTGGGTTTTTGAATTAATTTGTGTGACAATCTGTGGACGAATTGAAAGGTTTGACTTTGTATGATTACATTGATATGTTGTGTTCTGTGGAGGATGTTGTTTTGTGTAGTGTTGGGTTGTAACGTTTACGATTCTGTTAATTATGCTTTTAGGGTAGTTGTTGTTATATAAGTTTTTGTTATACGTTTGGATTTTTTTTTTTTTCGTGAAAGCATTCATGACTTAGGGACATGATTCTGTGTAATAATCCTTTAGCCGTGTTTGTTATTGTTTACAGGGGTGGTGTGATATACAATTGAGGTAGCGATCAGTATTCATTGGTTTTTGGTACTAATCTGTAATTAGTGTGCCACCCTAAAGTTGTTAAATTGTTTAATGTTGCTAGTATTTGCTCTGTGAGTACTGCTGTTAGAATTTTATCAATGTATTGGTGAGAAAGAGTAACGTAGAAGGTAGTTTTGTAATAACAGTGTTGAGTAATTGTGTCATCACTATATCTGTCTGCTAGAATCGGGCCTAGATTGCTGCCCATGGCTATGCCGAATGCATAAATGGTTGTTGTATCTGAAATAACAGTTTGAGCAGCAGTATCGTAACATTGTTTGTGTGTGGTGTCATGTCGTTCCAGTGGCCTTTGATAATTTCAAGTGTTAGCTCTATTAGGATGTTTGTGAAAAGCGACGAGACGTCTAGAGATATAAGTCTGTAGTTTGTTGATATGATAATTTGGTTTATTGTGTTTTTGTAACGAGACAAGTTCAGCGATATTATTGAATTTGAGGTATTTTGATAGATTCGATTTCATAGATGTTGGGGAATGTACAAACGAGATTATTGACCTCAAAGGATATCCGGGTTTGTGGGTTTTGACATCTCCATACAATTTTGGTGGCCTGGGTGAATTATTCTGGAGAAATTTATATGCGTACATGTCTATTTCTTTGTGTTGAAAAGTCTGCTGTAGGATTTTATTGACCTGCTTGATGAGTGACGGAGAGGGGACAGATTTAATGTCTTTTATGTGTTTGTGACACTTACAATTGTGTTGAGTTTCTGTATATAGTCATCTTTATTAACGGCTACCGTTTGTTTTGTTGTATCAGCTGAAAGATGTTTATCTGGGTTATTTTTATGGAATTTTTTGGTTTTTGTAAATGTTGGCTGTGATTAGGTGTTTTAAGTA